CTCAGCAACAGAAGCCAATATGTGTACACAAACAGGGAAAAATCTTCAGCTCACCCAAATTACAGTTGGTGTCCCACAGGGAAGTGTCCTAGGCCCTCTTCCTTTCTCATATACATAAATGACCTACCAAATGCATCGCAACTACTCAAAACCCACACTATTTGCAGATGACACTACATACGTTCTACTCTCACCCGAGCCCAGTCACGTAGCCAATACTGTAAATACTGAATTACAGAAAATATTCCTGGATGAGGACTAACAAACTTACTCTAAAACATTGACAAAACCTACTTCATTCAGTATGGTAACAGAGCTACAGATGTCCCTCTTAACATAATGATAAACAAATCACCTTCACAAAGCTAACAGAGGGAAAATTCTTAGGAATCCACCTTGATAATAGACTCAATTTCAAACACATATACAACAAATTTCCAAAAAAATTCCAAGCCGTAGGCATACTATCGAAGAAAGTACTATGTTTCACAGTCAGCCCTCCTGGCCCTATATCACTCTCTTATTTCCCCCTATCTCCCCTATGGAATTTGTGCATGGGGCTCAACAACAAAAAAACCATCTCAGACCATTAATTCCCCAAAAAAAGGCTGCAGTCAGAATAACAAATTCCCACTACGGGCAGCACACCCACCAATTTTCCCAAAACTCTAAACCTACTCACAATACAAAACATCCATACTTTTACTGCCCTCTACATTCTAGAACACCTAACTCTGACATAAACCCCCCCCTCAAAATCTCCTTCCCAACCTCAACAGAACACAGGGACCATAACACAAGACACAGTTCACTCTTTGAGTTCCTCGAGTCCATCTCACGCTATGCAAAAACTCAATTGACATGAAAAGGTCCAAAAAATCTGGAATTCATTACCTGTGAATATAAAAGAAACACTGTCTGTTTATAAATTCAAGTCTCTTCTCAAAAATCACTTACTCACCCACAACTAAATAAATATTGAATAATTGTATCTCATAAATTGTATCTCATAAATGTTTCTCATTATTGTATCTCATGAATGTCTAACCTGTGACCCAATCAAACTTTATTTTTTAATTACATTACCTAACAGAATACTCCATTCTATTGAATGATCAGCAACACAGTAAATGACCATATGACCTGTCTTTGTAATACTCATTTGTGCTAAATTGTTATCTGTTTACAATAATGTTTTTACCACTGAATCTCTCATTGCTTAGTTAATCTTAAGTTAATTTTAAGCCTGTCCATAATGCTCTGCATACAAGGGGCTTTGGCATGTTTCACTTTAACTTTCTGTATTCCTTTGTCTTCACTGTATCTAATCAGTCTAATCGTTTAAGAGAGGTCCAGTGCCTTGCTTTCTACGGAAGGCAACATGTATAACTCTCTTTATTTCCCTGTCGTTATATTTCACCTAACAGTAACCAGGTAAACTAGTGTGGGTAACATCTTGGGCAAGAAATTGATATGTATTGGGCAGATTTTCTTCTTGGGCGATTGAGATGTTGGACAGATCTACTTTCAGTTACCTGAGAAAGTAGGTACCTGCGGGTTAACTACTGTCGAAGGTGGATCCTAATCAGGGTGAGACTTATGGGCAAGTCTTACTGCTGGTGATTCATAATGAGTAACTTCGGTGGACTGGTTGTGGGAACCATTGCAAGTATAATCACTCAGAAAATTTCTTACTTATTTGGTGAGTACAATGTTCAAGGTTGCTGGAGCTTCAAGAAAGTGAGCAAACACTTGCACAGGTGCCTTGATACTGGTGAGAAGCAGGTGCCTTGATACTGGTGAGAAGCTCTTGATTCGAGGACTTGAAACCACACGTTTTTTCTTTATTTATCTTGCATAATATTCCGTTATTATTCCTTCAGGGTTACAACAATGAATTCTTCTTCTTCTTTTATATCTTCTTGTTGTGCTCGACTATCAAGATTCACAGCCTTTTCTTGGTCTAGCCATTTAAAGAGGAAATATATTCAGTGTCTACTGTAATACGTACACGTGTACATCTACTTGTTAATGCAAATATCTAATAAGCAAGGAGAATGGAGACAAATGGTTTTAAGGACTTGACGTGCTGTTGGAGTGTAACACGGAAACATTTATGAAGGGATTCAGGGAAACCGGCAGGTCGGACTTGAGTCCTGGAGATGGGAAGTACAGTGCCTGCACTCTGAAGGAGGGGTGTCAATGTTGCAGTTTTATAACTGTAGTGTAAGTGCACTTCTGGCAAGACAGTGACGGAGTGAATGATGATGAAAGTTTTTCTTTTTCGGGCCACCCTGCCTTGGTGGGAGACGGACGTTGTGTTAATAAAACAAATAAATTTCATGGCAGCATCTCAATGCCTAAAATTATGCAAACTTGGTTAAGAGGTTTTGTTGTTGTTCGGTTCTAACATCATAATGGGCAGGAAATGTGATCTATGTGACTGACCATTACCTGGAGTTTACCTGGAGAAGGTTTCGGGGGTCAACGCCACCGCGGCTCGGTCTGAGACCAGGCTCATTGTGTACCAGGATCTGATCAACCAGGCTGTTACAAATGCACAAATGATGTTATTATACATATGCTGGAACTAATATATGGCGCTCTCGAGAAGAAAGAAGTCTCACTGGGAATTTTCATTGACTTACGTAAAGCTTTTAATACAGTCGACCATGAACTACTGTACACTAAATTAACACACTATGGTACAAGAGGCCACTTCCTCAACTACCTAAAGTCATACCTTAGTAACAGAAGCCAATACATGTACGCAAATAGTGCAAACTCTTCCACACAACCAATCACAGAAGGAGTCCCACAGGGAAGCGTCCTTGGACCACTCCTCTTTCTCTTCTACATTAATGACGTACCAAATGCATCACAGCTACTCAAACCCACATTATTTGCAGATGACACAACATATGTCTTCTCACAACCAAACACAGTCATACTCGCCAACACTGCCAATGCTGAATTGCAGAAAATATCTCCCTGGATGATGACTAATAAACTTACTCTAAATACTAACAAAACCTATTTCATTCAGTTTGGAACCAGAGCTGCAAATGTTCCACTTAACATAACACTAAACACAGTCGCATCTAATTCCAGACACATATACAACAAATTTCCAAGAAAATCTCTAAGACAGTAGACATACTATCAAAGATATGGTACTATGTTCCACAATCAGCTCTCCCTGCACTGTATCACTCACTCAACAACATTAAATCACCTAAGGCCACTAATAACCCAGCAAAAGGCTGCGAAAGCATACTCCACCAGTATTCAGAAGTCTAAATTTGCTCACCATAAAGAACATCCACACTTATTCATGTGTCTGTTTCATACACAGAACAATACACACAAACATAAACCCTCCACTCAAACTTCTTCTCACCAACCTTAACAGGACACACGACCATAACACAAGACACAGATCTCTTTTTAATGTACCCCGTGTCTATATCACACTGTGTAAAAACTCTATGCACATAAAGGGCCCCAAAATTTGGAATTCATTACCAGAAAATACTAAAACAACCAGGTCTGAAAATCAATTTAAGACTCTTCTAAAAAACCACTTACTCACCCAGGACTAAATAATCAACTCTCAATATTTAACTTTACCAATAAGTCTCCCAATTACTTAAAGTTTTAAACTTCAAGACAACATACAGTAAATTAATCATCTTGTTTGTTATACATTGTAATGCCACAAATTCACAACTATAATGCTTCAAAATCGAAATGTTCAAACTTCATTGTTTCAAATACTCAATTGTACTTCATATTGTAAATTGTTTACGGTAATTTTTACCACTGAATCTATCATTGCTTAGTTAATTTTAAGTTAATTTTAAGCCTGCACATAATGCTCTGCATACAAGAGGCTTTTGTCATGTACACCCAACTACTATAATTCCTTGTACAACTATGTATCATGTCCAAATAAACTATGTATTTTATTATTATTATTATTATTATTATTATTATTATTATTATTATTATTATTATTATTATTATTATTATATTAATTATTATTATTATTATCATCATCATCTCCAATTTTCTTCAACTTTTCCTCTAATATTATTGTTGTTTCTATCAATAAAGTAAAACAATAAATATTTATATTTACTCTCAGCTGACTAACAATATTTCTCTTAGCTTTTTTTCTTTAACATATTTAACATATTAATAATAAAAATAACATTTACAGTAGCAATATTTAACTAAAACTTCGAAATACAAAATATTTGATATTGTGGCAATATTCAATGTGGTGGCAAGAGTATTATCTGAGCTGTGATACGTGGCGTGAGTTGCAGCAGCTGTGTTGACGGTAAGTACTCTTTGAGGTCGGTGTAGGCAGCAGCAGTAGCAGCAGCAGCGGTAGTAGTAGCAGCAGCAGTAGTAGCAGCAGCGGTAGTAGTAGCAGCAGCAGTAGTAGCAGCAGCGGTAGTAGCAGCAGCGGTAGTAGTAGCAGCAGCAGTAGTAGCAGCAGCAGTAGCAGATGCGTAGTAGAGCAGCACAGTAGTAGCCGCAGCGGTAGTAGTAGCAGCAGTAGCTACACCACAGCAGCAGTGCCAGCAGCAGTAGCATCACCACAGGAGCACCACAAGCAGCAGCAACAGTCAGAGGTGTAGTTATTATTCTATTAAACATATACATTCGAAAACAGTATCACCAACAGTATCACTGGTATGTTGCTTCATTCAGCCCCATCCTCTCCTTCACGCACACACACACACACACACACACACACACACACACACACACACACACATACACACACACGGGGCCAGGAGCTATGACTCGACCCCTACAACCACAACTCGGTGAGTGTAAACACACACACCAGGAAGTATGCGAGGAGATCAGCTCAAGATTCCGGGAGGCCAAAGTTGTCCACAGTGAGGTCAGAGATGCTACAGCAAACCGAGGTCGTGATAGGGTCCAGCAACCAGCCAAAGTGCTGGACATACTGAACACAATCAAGTAGAGGGGTGAAGAAACTGTTAGGTGAACTAGATACCTCGAAGGCGGTGGCCCCTCTACGTCCACAGCAGGACTCGAACCTGACCCGGGGTACTGTGCCTTGTGGATCAGAGTTTTTCACTGTAGCTGTCTCAGACTTTACTCTGTTTACTGTTACTCTTTGTGTTCCATTTGTCAGGAAGTTATAGATCCATCTGCCAACTTTTCCTGTTATTCCTTTATCACCCAATTCATGTATTATTACACTTTGGTTACACTTGTCAAAGGCGTTTGCAAAGCCTTTGTATACTACATTTGCATTTTGTTTAACTTCTTCAGCATCCAGGACCTTGTCATAGTGGTCCAGTAGCTGGGACAGGCAGGAGAGACCTTTTCTAAACCCATGCTGACCTGAGCCGTGTAACTGATGTGTATCTAGGAGGCTGGCGATATTGCTTCTTAGAACTGTTTCGAAGATTTTACGGTATAGGATGTTAGTCATATCGGTCTGTAGTTCTTTGCAATTGTTATACTGCCATCTTTGTAGAATTGGGCTATGTCTGTTGTTTTTAATGAGTGTGGGATGACCCCTGTGTCCATGCTCCCTCTCCATAGAATGCTGAAGGCACGTGACAGGGGCTTCTTGCAATTCATGATGAACATTGAGTTCCATGAGTCTGGGCCTGGGGCAGAGTGCATGGGCATGTCATTTATTGACTTTTCAAATTCTCTTGGTGTTAGAATAATATCAGAGATTTTTGAGATAACCAAATTTTGGGTTTCATTGACAAAGAATTCATTTGTATTGTCGACCCTTAGTCTGGGTAGCGGCTCGCTGACAACTGAATCATACTGAGCCTTCAGTATCTCACTTATTTTTTTTTTTTTTGGCTTTCATCTGTGTATGTCTCATTTCGCCTAAGCAGGGGCCAAATACTGGATGTTGTTTTTCCCCTAGATTTGGCATAAGAGAAGAAATTTTTTTTTTTCAATTTTCTTTATGGCTTTTAGTTCTTCCTGCAATTCTTGTCCCCTGTAAGATTTCTTCAGCTTAAGTTCAATATTGGCTATTTCATTGACCAGTGCCTGCATTTGTATTTCATATATATTGGCCCCTCTCAGCAGCTCTTTGATTCTTCACCTTCGTCTGTATAGGAAGCATCTCTCATTTTCTAGTTTCCATCTTCTCATTCTTTTTGGAATGTGCCTTGAGCAGATTTCAAGAACCACAGAGTTTATTTTTTCTAAGCAAAGGTTTGGATTTATGTTGTTTAGGATATCTTCCCAGCTTGTTTCATTTTGGACATGGTTGACTTGTTCCCATTGTATTTTTTTTTACTGAAGTTGAATTTTGTGAAGAGACCTTCATGACTGCTCACATTTTGCTGGTCCGGAGCCCTGTGCATACATGTCTGTACCCAGGGCTGGATTACCGCATAGGCAAACTAGGCATTTGCCTCGGGCCCTGCGCATTTGGGGGCCCCGCGGTCCAAGGGGTTCAGGGGCTCATCCAAGACTGCACACATGGTGCAAGTGCAAAGGGGTCCCTACCTAAAAAGTTCAAGTGTTTGGAGAGTAAAATTGATTTTTAAAAATTAATCAAAACAAAAATAAATAATGAAATAAAATAAAATAAAAATAAATAAACCTAACCATAGATGGCAACACTCAACACGCCTTTGTTTACATCAGAACAGCTGTGTTTTCCCGCTAATGGTGAGTATGAGAGATTCCTCTCCAATTTTCTGTAGTAATTACACGTTATCTAGACTTGTACTGTGACAAATTAACTGAAGTGTTGTTGATAGACATTGATGTGTATGGATAAATGTTTGTTTTCGCCTCTAAATGTTAAGGGAGGTACCTGATAGGGTTACTTGACCAGTAAAGACGCATGGACCAGTAAAGACGCATGGACCAGTAAAGACGCATGGACCAGTAAAGACGCATTTTTGGTAAAAATACTGTAAAGAAAAACCTAAAAACGCAAACTGACTTCCGTTTGTAGGTTTTAAAAGCACTTTGTCCTGTCTTGAAGTCTTTATCATTCAATAACAGATCTCAATTGATTGATGTTCTACATCACTTCCGTCGCAAATGCTTAGTTTTCAAGTTGCGACAAAAGTGATGTAGAACATCAATTAATTTACTACATATTTCCCCAGAAACACATAAGCCACATCAGAAAATCGTTGGTTGGGTGAAACTGAAAATTGTCCCTGCATTCTTTAATTCTCATGTCCTTATCTATGGTGGTAGGCCATATATCATGCAAAATAATGATTAGTTTAGTTATGAAAATGGTAATATAAATACCATTGTGCATTGTTCTTGGACTCAGTATGATTTCTGTTTAAGTAAATTGGAGATCAAGGAGGATGAATTAGTAAAATATTCGTAGCCAAATCACTAACCAAATCTATGGTAAAAGTTCTGTATATGACTCCTTTCTGGTAACGTTTTGAATTTTTAGATGCGCAGCCAGAGGAAAGGGGGCTACAAGGGCCATATCCCCCCAATTGACAGAAAAAAAAAATTAATAATAATTAAAAAATTAATAATAATTGATAATGAAAAATTTGTATTTGCATGATTACAGACAATTTATACATCCTCATTATGGCATCTCGTGAACGTGATGTTGGACGTTCTTATGCGAGTGGGTCACAGAAAAGAAAGAAGAAAATTCAAGAAGAAGAACAGAAAAAGAAAGATGTAGGAAGCTGCAGAAAGATCACAGACATGCTCACGAAAACAGTTTCTGATGCTACCAGTACAGTTGAATCTGCAGATACGTCAGATCACACAGGAAGCCCTCTTCCATTATTTCTCAGCCAGCATCTACTTCTTTTGTGTCTCCTCTCAATGTCTCAACGGACATTTCATCCACAGGATTTGTCTTAAAAGATCCTGCCTCATGGCCAAATGTAATCCCAGATTCTCTACGTAATGCTTTCATTGCAGAAAACTTCAGTCAAACTCTGAACATTGACTTTAGGAAATAGCAAGGATTTATGATGATGGAAGTCGTCGTTGTTTAAAGTCATCTATGTTTATAGGAAGCTTGCAAATCCAGAAAATGTGAAAAGATCATGGATGGTATACTCTGAAAGCTCAGGAAAAGTGTACTGTTCAGCATGCAAGCTATTTTCTACCAAAGAAGATACCTTCACACAGGGGTTCAATGACTGGAAAAATTCCAAGCGTTTCGAGGAACATGAAAACAGCTCCACTCACAGGAGCTGCATTTTAGCTAGTGTATTTCGTGCACAGAAAAAAGGCTTATTGGTTTCTCATTTGGAAAATCAAACTGGAAAAGAGCGCACTTATTGGAGAAAAGTTCTAGAAAGAGTTGTTGCTGTTGTAAAATTCTTAGCTCTAAGAGGACTTGCTTTCCGTGGAGAAAATGAGGTTTTTGGTTCGGAAAACAATGGTAATTTCCTAGGGATCATAGAACTGTTAGCACAATTCGATCCATTCTTAGCAAATCATGTGTCACGCCTTGGGAATGCAGGAAGAGGCACTGTATCTTACATGTCATCTACTATATGCAATGAATTTATTGAACTGATGACTAAGAAGGTCCCTAATAACATCATAGCAGCTGTGAAAACTGCAAAATACTTGCAATAAGTGTAGATTCAACACCAGATATTTCACATACAGATCAATTGACATTCATTGTTCGCTTTGTCGACTCCAGTGGTAAGCCTGTAGAGCGCTTTATAAAATTCATTCCCTCTTTCAGGCCATGATGGAGAAACAATGATGAATGTAGTACTGGATACTCTGCTTGAACATGATCTCTCTATTATGGATTGCCGTGGCCAGAGCTACGACAATGCAAGTAACATGTCGGGTAAATATAATGGATTGCAAGCCCGTATCAAGCAAATCAACCCACTTGCTGAATATGTGCCCTGCTCAGCACATTCTCTTAATCTTGTTGGGTCATGTGCTGCGGAGTGCTGTGTCGCTGAAGTTTCATTTTTTGGACTTTTACAAGCACTCTTTAATTTTTTCTCTGCTTCAACGCATCGGTGGAGTATACTCAAGTCAACCATTCATGGAGATGTCATCAAATCATTATCAACAACAAGGTGGTCAGCGCAGCATGATGCAACACATGCTTTGAAAGACAGCTTTGCTGAAATACACTCTGCTTTGATCCAAATAGCAGAGGATGAAGACCAGACAGCAACTACAAGAAGCGAAGCAGCCAGCTTAGCATCAAAATTGGAAGATTTTGAATTGGCCTTACTCTGTGTGCTTTGGGACTGTATACTGGAACGGTTAAATGCCACGAACAAGACACCTCAGAAAATTGAAATTGAAATGGCTACTTGTGCTAACCTCTATGCAGGCTTAGTGGAATTTGTAAGCTCACTTCGCAATGATGAAGCTTTTGAAATGTTTGAAGAGAAAGCTAAACTCTGGTGAAAGAAATACAGTTACAGGGCTGATCATCAGCGGTCAAGGAAGACGAAACGCAATTTTGAAGAGCCAGACAATGAAATTGTGTTGCTACCAAGGCAGAAAAAGTAAGACAGCTACATACTTCGTCATTCTGGATTCACTAATTACAGAATTGGTGAAAAGAAAGAAATCTACCAGAATCTCAATGACAAGTTTGGATTTCTGTTCAAAATTACTACTATGCCAGATGCAGAATTGAGAGAAGCTGCATTAAAGTTGCAACAACACCTTTCAGCAGATGTTCAGGACACATTTGTTGAAGAAATAGTTCATTTTTCTGGGTATATGAATCAGATTAAAGCTCCACCTGAAAAATGTGCGCCATCAGCTGCTTTGAAACATTTAAGAAATGCAGGTATCTCAGAAACCTTCCCTAATGTTGACATAGTGTATCGCCTTTACCTAACACTTCCAGCTACTAACTGTGAAGGAGAACGTTCATTTTCTGTTTTGAAAAGAGTGAAAAACCAGCTCCGTTCAACAAGGAGCCAAGACAAATTGTGTAACCTAGCCTTGTTGACCATTGAGTCTGATCTAACAAGAAATATTGATTTTCAGAATATAATTGATGATTTTGCCAAAATGAAATCCAGAAAAAAGTTTATTTAAGAAGTGCCTGTGAATATAAACAATTCTTTACTTTTTTGAGTTTATATGATTTGATAGTCTTATGCATGATGCAATGATAACAATAATGGTCAGTGATTTATAAAGGGAATAATAGTGCTGTAGTGGTTATGCTGAATATAATAGGTACATGATGTCACTACTTTAATAGCCTAATCTAGTAATACTATGCTGTCTTGAGTTTATTCTCTTTAAAATGCATGATTTAACAAGATAGTTATAATGGCTGTTGGTAAATGGTTTTTGGTTGTCTTGAAGTACTTTCCATATTAAATTTAATCTAAATAGCCAGAATGTATTTAATTAGACCTTAAACAGGCTCACACCGACCACCCTCCACCCCACCCCCAAGCTGGAAGGGGTCGCTTCGCTTACCTGTAACTCAAAGGGGCCCCGCCAATCTGAATAGCCTAGGCCCAGAGACTTCTTAATCCGGCCCTGTCTGTACCTCTATTATGTTGTGATCTGAGTGCATTGTCTTTGATACGATTATATTATGTATCAAATGGTCGTTGTTAGTGAAGATGAAGTCCTGCATCTCTTCTAGTTTTGTAGGCTCTAATATTTGCTGGTTTAAGGTGAATTTGGGGTAGAGATTAAATACCTAGTTTGTGTGTGAATTTTCATCTGAGCTGCCTTCTGAGGTGATCTCTGCTAAAATATTATTTGCTACACTCCTCCATTTTAGATGTCTCAACTGGAAATCCCCCAACAGCAAGATGTATGGGGGCAGGAGTTGGGAGATTTTCCAAACAGTGGTCAATTTTCAAAAGCTGTTCCTGGAATTCCTGGGAAGTTGCATCCGGAGGTTTGTATACAACCACAATGACAAGGCGTTGGTTTTTAATCTTTATTGCCCAAATTCCAATTACCTCATTTGAGATGTTTAATAGTTCTGAGCAAATGAGAGACTCTGTGACGTACAAGGCAACTCCCCCTTGTTGACTGTTTAGTCTGTCGCATCGGAATAGGTTATAACCTGGGATCCATATTTCATTGTCAAAATTATTTTTTATGTGGGTCTCTGTGAAGGCTGCAAATATTGCATTTAACTCCATGAGCAGTTTCTTGATTTAGGGAATTTTGTTGTTTGTTGACGGCTTTAGACCCTATATGTTTGTGAAGACAAATGTTGGTATATTGATCGAATTTAGGGGGTTTTATTTGCTGGATCTAATATCTGTTGTTCACCGACTTCACTCATCTCACACTGACTCCCAAGTCCATCTAGGCGAATTTACAGCCTCCTATTTTCCTCTTCAACACTTTAACCTGAGATTCCAAAACACCACAGGAGCAAACCATGGTGCTCTATAACCCTCAACACTAATCATCCAGAGAGCTTAGAACGGAATGGCCACTCGCGGACTCTCCTCAGCGTACTGACCACTGACCTCAGTGTACAGGAGACTTCAACTATTTCCAGGTGCTTTATCATACTTATACGTGCCCTGAAATTTCTCTGCATATTCTCCAGGTCTGCAATTTTGCCTGCCATGAAAGGGGCTCTTAGTGTACAACAATATTCCAGCCTAGAAAGAACAAACGATTGGAAGAGAATCATCATTGGCTTTACATCTCTAATTTTGAAGGTTCTCATTATCCTTCCTATAATTTGCCTAGGAGATGTGGTATATACAGTGTTGTGATATTTGAAAGTGAGATTCTCTGACATATCACTCCCAGGTCCTTCACATTAGTTTTTTGCTCTATTGTGTGGTTGGAATTTGTTTTGTTCCTGATACAGTTTTAATTTCCTCAAGTTTTCCATAGCGGAGTAATTGAAATTTGCTCATTTAAAGATTTGGTTGATGTCTACTTGGAGAGTTGCAGTGTCTACGGTGTCTACGGTGCCCCGTGGCTCGATCGCTAAAGCCCTCGCTTCACACGGCGAGGGTCTGCGTTCGATCCCAGTGCGGGTAAAAACATTGGGCATGTTTTTTTACACCGGTTGTCTATGTTCACCCATCAATGGGTACCTGGGTATTAGTCGAATTGTGTGGGTCGCATCCTGGGAAGAGGACCTAATTTGCCTGAAATGCTCTGCATAACAAGGGGCTTTCTATATAATAGTACATCGTTGACGTCAGCTAGGCCTGTATACCATGTACATGTACTTGTAGTGAATAAAGATGTTATTATCATAGATGACACTGTTATGCACATTCAGGTGTCAACCACAAAGGAGAACACGGTGCTGTGTCAGATATGAGGATGAAAAACAGGATGAAATCGAGTACTATACGTTGTGGAACTGAGCTTTACACCTCTGATTCTACTATGTATACACTCACTCTTTGTGTTCTATTTGTCAGGAAGTTATAGATGCATCTACCCATTTTTCCTGTTATTTCTATATCACTGTGGAAAATACTGTATATATTTTCCAGAAATATAGTAGTTATATGTAAATAGATGGCCATACTGTATTAATAAATTTATGTTATAAAAAATTGGAAATTCTGCGCCTGCGCAGAAGACACTTGACATGTTTGAACTGGTCAACACAAACGTTAGTGAATAATGGGAAGAATTTTCGTGCTCTAGAGGTTAAAATTGGGCTGAACCTCTCAAATAGGAGCCGAAATTGTTGGATATGCATTCCTGCATAACTTGAGATATTCAGGCGACTGGACAAGACAGCTCCAGGAACCTCAGATAAGTCTGTTTATGTTTAACTCTGGCCAGTGTTATTGTCATGTATAGACAGTGAGGTTTTCTGAGTATGATACACCTTAATCTCCAGTCAAATTGGTGAGTGATATTAAGATATATTCTCCTTCTGTTATGTAAAATTGTATATATATAATCAATTATTAATTTTAATGTACAGTCCACAAATTTTTATATTTACCAGAGTTCCTGGTGATGCATATTTCATTTGTAATTAATAGGTCTAGAGCAACTTGTGGTTATGACAGTGGTAGGTATCGAAGGGAGACATTTTTTGCGACGTAGGTGTCCCAAATTCCTACTTGTCTATGTAACTTTGATAAATAATAATTATCTTTGTTACCATTTACTGGTATGTACCTTATGTTATGTCCAGATAAATGTAATTTTCCACAATCACGCAGTTTGTGTACTATTACACCATTATTATTATTCTAATAAAAAAGAAACAATAAACCTACTGATACACCATGACCACAATTGTTGAAGACTCGCAGTGTCAGTGTATATACATCGGCTTTTTTTTTTCTTCGGGAAAATCCAAAACCCTGTG